TAATTTATCCATTTACTTAAATTAATCAGTCTCTCACTTTTGAATAGTTCATTTGTTTCCACTTAAAATCATAAGTAATACTCATAATTAAAGTAAAATAACTTTACAAATACATTTTCTTTTATTTGCTCGTTTATTTCTTTACAATTAATTTCATGAAATAGGAGCACTATGTCACAAGTAAAAGAGTTTTTATTTCTGTTATTCTTTTGCCCTCTGGAGTGATTGCACACTTCACATTCCCATCAGCTGAGACTGAGAAGCACTGGTTCCCCAATTCCACAGCAGCAGATTTAATCATTCTGTTCAGGAATTAATATGAAAATGGAAGAAAGTTTCTAAATTTGGAGGAAATTTAGAAGGGGCTTGTTAACCTCAAGTTTCAAAAATTAATACATGTGTATTTTATTACAATTTTGTAATTATTCTTTTGCATTTAAGCTTTCTAATTATTCAGATCTTATTGTGCTGTAAGATGCAAGGTAATATACAATTCTGTGTTTCCAGTGTTGAACTACATGTTTAACGGCTATTAAAGACTATGACCTTTTAAATAATCCTTCACTTTTCTATATAAATATTATGTCTTCTTTATTTGCACTAAATTTCCTCATATGTACCTAATTCTTGACTGTGTTTTTTGTTCAATTTAGTCACATTATTCATTGTCTAATTAGCACAGGTTTATGACATATTCCAATTTCTTTTCACAACCTCTCTCTCACAACTCTTGTTATGTTTCCTTTATTAAATTTCCCTAGATTGTGACATGGACTATTGTGTCATTTTGGATTGTTCTGACAGATTTCCACTAGATGTTTAATGAGCACTGCAGTTATCTCATGGATTAGTTCGATGAGAATTGCTTTGTTGTGTTTTTTGAGACTGAGTCTTACTCCATCATCTTGTGTAGAGTGCAGTGGAGTCAAAATAGCTCACAACAACCTCAAATTCCTGGGCTCAACTAATTGTCCTCCCTCAGCCTCCTGAGTAGCTGGGACTGAGTAGCTGGATTAATTTTTCTATTTTAGTAGAGACAAGGTCTTGCTATTGCTCAAGCTAGTCTGGAACTCCTGAGCTCAAGAGATCCTCCCTCCTCTGCCTCCTCTAGTGGTACGATTGCAGATGTTAGCCATTGCACCCAACCAAGAATTGATATTTTTGTAACTTGCATCCTTTTTTTCTCTATTAGCATCATTTGACCTCTCATTTTATTCAAAGTTTCAAATATATTATAAAAATTTATATTTTTTTCAATGGAATGCATACATAGAATGTTTCCTGGCTCAGCACCTGTGGCTCAAGCAGCTAAGGCGCCAGCCACATACACCTAAGGTGGCGGGTTCGAATCTCCAGCCTGGGCCCGCTGAACAACAATGATGGCTGCAACCAAAAAATGGCCAGGCGTTGTGGCGGGTGCCTGTAGTCCCAGCTACTTGGGAGGCAGAGGCAGGAGACTCACTTGAGCCCAGGAGTTGGAGGTTGCTCTGAGCTATGTAGCCATGGCACTCTACCCAGGGGGATAGCTTGAGGCTCCATCTCAAAAAAAAAAGAATGTTTCCTTTATAAGTGACATCTTTTATCATTTTAACAGCTTCTTGACTTTTTGTATTTATTTAAATAATATTGGATTTAATATTACCATTTGATTATCTTAAAATTTTGAAATAGACAGTTGTGCGATTTGACAATCAATAATCACAGCTTTGCTGCCTCCTCCTTGATAGTATTACTCGATTTAATCTTCTTCTCTACTTCATAATAACTGTATTAGCAGGCTTTCTTCCATGTGTTTTTTTAAATCATAACTTTGTACAATGATTTAATGTTTCACATTCTGTTTTCTCTTCAAATCATAGAAATCTTTCACCTTATTAATTTAATCTTTCATCTATAGCCCAAAGCTGACTGTTGGTTTAAAAATTCTATTAAAAGCATCAAGAATGAAAAATTTCTTATACTTTGTATTTTACTAAGATTTTTATTAAGGGTCAATGTTGTGATTCATATAGTATGTTCATTGTATAGTATATAAAATACATTCATTTAGTGTACACAGTACATCATAGTATATACAATACATTCATTTTCTAAAATTGAAGTGATGGCTATGTTAATCTGTTTTATTTATGCATTCCACATTGTATGTCAAATTATCATATTGTACCCATAAACGTATACAGTGTAATTGTCATTACAAATTAATAATAAAAAAAGAAATACCCTCTAAAATCAAATTTTGCTGTCTTCACTCAGAAATTGTATGTGCTATAGAGTGGGACTTCAAGAATTTTTCTTTGATAGACTCCCCAAAGGATTTTAGTTAGCAGATCACATGATCATATTTCGTGTTTTGGTAGACTGCTCTGGAAACATAGTATAGAATAGTCTGGTTTGGGGAAAGAAAGGAAGCAGAAGTGTCATTCAGTAGCCTTTTCAGTGGTCGAATTGATAAAAAATGGAAAACAGAAGGAAAAAATGGAAACATAAAAGAAACTGAATTAAGAAATATTTGAGAGTAAAAATAGTGCAACTAGAGATATAATGTGAAGGACAGACAAGAGTGCCACAAAGGTCTACATTGGGGATCTGTGAGAATGGCAATAATATTTATTAAGGTATTGAAGTAGAGCAGAGTGGCTTGGAGGAAAAAATATGGTAAGATCATGAGTTCAGTTTTGACCTGTGAACTTGAAGGTGGATATGAAGCTCCACTAGAATACACCACATACAGTTTTGACCTGTGAACTTGAAGGTGGATGTGAACCTCCACTAGAATACACCACATGCAGTTCTGGATCTACAGCTCAGGATCAAGATAAAACTACAAGCTTAGAAGTCAATGTGGAGGTAATAGTTTAAGGGAATAAACTGACATCGAAAAAAAATACTTGAGTCAGAACTCTGAATTACACCAAATATTAAAGGCAGGCAAAGGACAATCATTGTGTCAATAAAAGATACAGGAAAGAAGTTGGAAATGTAGAAGAACGGTTAGGGGAGAACTGTCATAGAAATATTCAGATTGCAGTCAGATGCAACTAACAGAAAATCTGATTTATAGAGGATCAAACAAACTGGAGGTTGATTTTCTTGCACTGCAAGAAATCTGAGGAAAGATCACTTCTGGCTTTGGATAAGTGGTACAATATGCCCTTTGAATCCTCATTCCTTTCTAACCTTTTGCTATTACTTTATGTATCTGAGAATTTCATGTTTGAGTCACCATAGCATGACACGAACATTAAATACAGGGGGGAATATGGACTGGTAAAAAACCTCCACATGAAGGTTTGTACCTTTATTTGAGAAGGAAAGTCCTCCAAAGAAGGTACTGGTTTACATTGTCGTTGAACAATCCTGGGGGTCATAAATCCTGTCTTAAGCAAATCCCTAGCCAAGAATAATGGGATTAGAACAACTGGCTTACATGCATCATGATCTTGATTTGGAATAGGACTACTCTATCCTGAAATTGGTAGGTTTCAGCCCAGTGCCTGAGCAAAGGGAATTTCTGTTGGCAAAAAGTAGGAAGGGGAATTGCTTTATAGAAGCCAAAGCGCCAAGGGTAGAAGGAGTTACAGAAACTAGTCCATGATTAAAAGTATCAAATTATTCAAGGAGATTGAGTAAAATAAGATTTAAAGATGATTATTACATAAAATATTGAAAAGTAGAAATTTTTTCCCTGAAAATGGAACCTATAGAAACCATAATGTTTTATTTTATTGAATGGACAGAATGCATTGATAACTTTGCCAATCAATGAAAGGATGGAGAGAAAAGGAGTAAGTCAAATTCAGGTTCTAGATTTTTATAAAAGAATTTCACTATGTTATTTAGTAATAGTGTAAGGAAAGTAAAAGTTGAAGAAAGTTTAAATGATGGATGCTTCAAAACCATACAGTGTATACTTGAAAGGACTGGATCTGAAGAGCAGAACACAGAGGTTAAGAGCATGAATTTCAGGGTCCTATAACTCTAGATTTAAGCTCTGCTTCAGATCTCTCCAAGGCTTAATTTCATCATATGTAAAATGGGTCTCCTAAAATTATACAGGGGATTTTGTGAAGTTTAAATGCTATGACATACTAAGTACATTGCAGAGAAAAAAAATCACTTAATAAATGTTATCTATTAATATCATTATTGAATTACCATATTTTATTTTCTAACAGGTATTATTTTTGTTTACAATAAAGCATTGCATACAGAGGTTCATGTATGGATTATGATAATAATGAGTCATGAATTAAACATTATCAATAATCTCAACCTGTGCACCCAACCTCCATGCTAAATTATTCAAACAAAAAAAAAATGCATACGAAGTGAAACCAGGTAAAATTACTACACAGTTGGAGCCTGAAAGTAAGCATTTTATCAATCAAGTAAGAAATTCAGCTAAGGAAAATTTTCAAGTTAATGAGAGAACGTTAACGTGTGAATAAAATCTGTCACCTGAGAGTATTAGGATGGTCATGGGAAATATTTAGAAATCCTAAAAGTAAAACAAAACAAAACAATACCCAAGATCCTCCCCCCAAAAAAACAATGCCAGTTCCATGAGACCTTTAACATGGAATAGGAAGGGAAGTAACCCCATTTGCATCCATCTAATATATTGATAATTTTCTTTCTCTTCTATGTAATCGCTCTCCTAACCACCGTAATAATTCTATTTCCTTTTTCTCTTATCCAATTCAATATTTCTTTTTTTATGGTCACTTTTATTAAAGTAAAAGTTACATGTTGTAAAATTCACTTTTTTTTATTTCTGATTAATATGAAGGCACATACACTTAGGCCACATGGCTTGCATTTCTAAAGCAATGTCTAAGGTGTAGCTCTGTCCCTCACACAGTAAGTGTGCTAACTCTAGTGTATGTAATCCACAGAGCAGTCCCACACAAGTAGGGAATATACTTTACCACCACTGATTCCAACTTTTTGTTATTTTCTATCTCAGGTGTTTGAGATCACCTCTTCTACCCAAGTCAATGGATGGACTAAATGACTCTTCTGTTTCTGAGTTTGTGTTGTTGGGACTGTCCAGTTCTCAAAAAACTAAAGTTTTTCTCTTGCTGACATTCTCCTTCCTCTATTTAGGGATCATCCTGGGAAATCTCTTCATTGTGTTTTTGGTAATTGCTGATTCCTACTTACAATCCCCTATGTACTTCCTGCTGGCTAACCTGTCCCTCATTGATGTGGGCCTTTCCTCCACAGCCATCCCCAAGATGATCTCTGATCTTGCAAATGAATACAATATAATTTCTTTCCAAGGTTGTATGACTCAGATATGCTTCATCCACATCATGGGAGGAGTTGAGATGGTGTTGCTCATAGCCATGGCATTTGACAGGTACACGGCCATCTGTAAGCCTCTTCACTACCTGAACATTATGAGCCCAAAAAGATGTGTTGCATTTGTAATCACTGGATGGATAACTGGGGTGATACATGCTATGTCTCAATTTGCTTTTGTTATAAACTTACCTTTTTGTGGCCCTAATAAAATAGACAGTTTTTACTGTGACTTTCCCAGGATCATAAAACTTACATGCACAGATGAAGCCAAGTTTGAGTTCATTGTTGCTGCCAACAGTGGGTTTATGAGCATGGGCACTTTCTTTCTGCTAATCCTTTCCTACATCTTCATTTTGGTCACTGTCTGGAAACATTCTTCAGGGGACTTATCCAAGGCATTTGTCACTTTGTCAGCTCACATCACTGTGGTGGTTCTCTTTTTCACTCCATGCATGTTTCTGTATGTGTGGCCTTTCCCCACATCATCAGTTGACAAATACCTGTTCATTGTTGACTTTGCTATCACCCCTGCCTTGAATCCTGTCATCTATACATTAAGGAACAAAGACATGAAGATAGCCATAAAAAGACTGAGAAAATGGAGATATTATGTCCAATTTTGCTGACCAGATCTGTCTTTGAAGTTCAAAAATGTGTCTGCCTTTTGGACATTTTTCACTCAACCACTTGCCATTTAACATGATGTTGAGTCCAAACTGGATGTGGCATCTGCCTCATTCAGTAGATTTCTGCTACTTTTGTACAAAATTTGCTGAATTGCTTTTACTACCAGGGGAAATGTGAATCTTCTGTAATATGGGTTATTTAGTGGATAGCAGCATTATTCAGAAATAAAACTATGTTGATTAGTTTCATGTAAGCACTCCAAATTGTATTAAAAAATCAACACATTGTACCCCACAAATTCATAAATGTATTCAGGATCTATGTGTATATGATTTAATAAAAGCAAAAAAAAACAAAAATTTTATGATTTAAAATTGTAACCATTTTACCATAATAATGATACATTGGTATCTCATCATTTCCTATAAGCTTTTTGCAATGGCATGTAAGAAATGTCAGAAATCATCATCTAGAATAGATATATATGCATACATAGGTCTAGTAGCTCTACTTAGTCACTTAGGTTGACTTGTCAGATGAGGACCAAAAAGCAAATTTTGTATGCAAATGGTTTATTTGGAAGCTGATTTTTGGAAGCATCAGTAAGGGAGTAGGGAAGTGATATCAAGAAGGGAAAGGTTTTTATGTTGATAAATGTAACTGGGATTCAAACGTACTGTGGCCCCAAGTACTATAGATTCTGTGACAGAGAAAATCTCAAGCATGTGCATTTTTTCAATATTAGAGGGTTCATTAACTCCTTAGCATGTCTAAACTGTCCTGCACGAACACCATCTGTGTTAGGAAGCCCAAGGTAAGCTGGCCCGTAGACTATCAGCCACTAACAGTAGTGACCCATCTCCTTGTTTGGAAACAATAAAAGCAGAAGAAGAGTCACCTTTTAAAGGCATAAATTTTACTTCATCTGTCATAGATTCTTTATGGTGGCATCTATTCACAATTTCTGTCTCTCTCCTCTCTCCCCCCACCACACACACACACACACACACACACACACAAATTAAAACTGGAATTAGGGGAACTAGGGGGATACGCTACAGCAGCATTTTAACTCTAATTTACTCTCCTTTATTGCTCATTTTAAATTTCCCTTATCCTCAGGTAGTTCTTCTGCAGACCTTGGATGCTTGCCAAGTAAAGTGTCCAGTTTTTATAGTTTTCGTCTATCATGAAACCACCAGGTGGTGGTACCTGTGCTCAAACTCTTTGTTATCTATCTTTATCCAATATGGGAAAATTCTGCCCACTGTTCCTCCACCAACATGAGGAATATCAAATGACAGGATAATAACTAAAAATCTGAGATTTCTTAGAATCCATACTCGATCTCCCAAACAAAGTATTTTCTTCACTCTAATTGATCCTAAAATTTTAGGAATAGAAAAAGAAACTTCAAGGCCAGTTTCAAGGTCACTAAGACTTGTGGTAGTAAATGCTACTCTTTTCTGTGTCCTTTGCTTTACAGAGCTACATATTTTATTCACAGGAGACATATGACCAATGAAAGGTTATTGGTTTAAACCATGTATCTTAAAGTACAGATTCTAACTTTCCAGACTATTATCTATAAGGTGGTTTCTCGGTTGCAACTTTGAAAAGCTATTCCAGTATTCTATCAGTTTGACAACTCTCAGTTTAGGGCAGTATATGGTAGGATCAGTGGGTTCTCTGGTTTTGTGTGCTTTTGTGCACTTTCTCTCCTATAAAGTGGATGCTGTTTGTCTAAGAAAATATTATGTAAGATTTCATATCGGAAATTGCTCTATGAATTCTTGGGTAGAGGTGCTGAAAAGTACTGAAGTAGGAAAGATGAGCCATCCTCAGAATGTATATTAATCTCAGTAAGGACAAATCTCTGTCTTCTTCTGTTTGGAGGGAATTCAGCGTAAGCAACCACCCTTAAGTGACTGATTTCAGTCCTCAAAAGATGGTATTATTTTAAGATATCATTTCTGTGCTACTGTCAGATCAAGCCTTTACATTGAAACTAATTAGCCAAAGCTTGCGTAAGAAGCCCACTCAGTGCATCCCAGGCATAACCTTCCTTTCTACCATGATACTGTCTTTATTCACAAGTGCATGGTGCAAGTACTAGCCTGGCTGAAGAAAGGTTAACAATGATTTACCTATTCAATTACCTAGTTAAACTCTTTATACCTAACAGATGATTCTTTAGTCCGTATTAAATTATCATGATAAAGTGAACTTCATCAAAACTAGAAACTTTTGAAATTCAAAATAAACTTCTGAAAAAAGGAATTATCAGCGCCCAGAATTATTCATCCGCACGTGGAACTGCTCCGTGTTCCTGTAACTCTTCTCTGCCAATTGTGATAATTTACCCTTAGGGAAAACAGTGTGCACCAAAGACCTGGTTTCTTCAAGAAGCAATTATGGACATCCAGTTCTACTCACCAGTCCTACTAATTGAATTTCTTCCTAATGGTCTGAACTATTTATAATGTTTTGTCTTAAGAAAAGGTGGTGATTCGAAAAGAGTGTTAACCTTCATGTGTGTCTGGAAGCTGCGGGTGAGTGAAGCCCAGACCTGAGCAGGTATGTAAAATGTCTGCTCTTTAACTCCAACCAGTTACATTGCTCCTTCCTTTTTCATTCTCTTTGTTCCCAGATCTCCTTTCTTCTTTCCCACTTTCCTTTAGCTAGTGCTCTTTATTTAAAGGAGTGTCTCTCGCATTGTTATATATCCTTCTGATCACATTTTCATAATTTTACCTGTATCATGAGATGAATTTCTGTTCAAAGACCCATGATCATTATTAAATCAATATGTAAAGAGTCTTTATTTTCCCATTCATTTTCTCTCTGAAACTACAATCATGGGAATTAAAAGTTATGTCTAAGTCTTGGATATTTCAACTGAGAACAATCTGGCAGACCAAGCTATTTCTGATCGGACAGACTCAAATACTCATATCTTAAAAATTATAATTATCTTTTAAGAAAAGACTTGTTGAGTACTTATGCGCCAGGGCATGCTCTGATGTTTTCCATATATTAACTCATTTAATTTTCCAAACAGCCCTATGAGGTATGAACTATTATTATCCCTATTTTACAGATGAGGAAATTGAGAGACAGAAAAGTGAAGCAACTCACCCAAGGACATATAGTTCATAAGGCAAGGAGATGGAGATTCAAACCCAGGTAGTTTATCCCCAGAATCTGTGCTCTTAGCCACTACACTATACAGTTGTTTATGAAATTATCCATATCATTTTCCTATTTCCTCTACCAATTTTAAAATTTCTTTCAAAACTAAAGAAAACTATAAGTATTTCTTATAAAAATATAGCAAATAAGAGTTAATATTTAGAAAAAATACAAAATTATCTAAAATTTCACAACCTAGAAACATCGAGGTATAAAGCCAAAATATTTCCATAAATATTCACTTTTTATTTATAGTGTTTCATAACCTCTTAAATTTAATTAAGTATTGCATACATATCTTCATGTTAGTTTATCTTAAGTTTTTACTCATTCACATTTTATCAAAATAAGTTTGTGTTATGAGTTCAAATATAGTTACAGCTTGTCTTCCTTACTTATATAGGACTTTCAAGGAGGTCATAGTAGAAAATGAAGAAGTAACGTGCAAGAAATTACAACATACTTTCTTATAAAAATGTAAACTTCTCATAGAAAAGTTTTGCCCTGTTGGGGTCTTCAATAAACATTTCAGAAGAGGTGATATTTGATCCACATCTTGAAGGACAAAAGATAGGGAAGTGACATTTGTATGAGAAAGTTTTGCTTATGTTATCTCAAGTTCTCATAGAATCAAGAAAAGTTAAGTTACACTTGTATTTTATGCACTAATACACACTATCAGCTCACTTAGTAGCTGTCTCAGATTTGTATAGCTCTAAAGTGTCGTGGTGGTACGACAACCAAAGCCCATCCAGCCTTAAAGCCAGTAATGATTCCACTTTATAATGACCAAGAATAACACAGGCAAGAACATATGCAAAGGCAGAAATAGTAAACGGTGTTCAATTCGAGAAAAGTTTTCTGTGATATCCTTTGAATTTGAAATACTCTTTCTGATAAAAGCTAAACTTTAAATAAGAGAGTAACATCATCTTTCAAAGCTCAACCTAAAGATTGCTGCACTTTTAGACATCTCATTAATACTGAGTGCAGAAATTTAAAAGGCCGGAGAGAGACTTTTCCAAAAGATTTTTATTTTAATCTGGGAAAGAAAACTTTCCACCTTGTTCCCCAACTCATTAGTCTAGATTACATGCTCTTTTTAAGCAAAGCCATGTCCAACTGAAATTAGATTATCATCTTTTATCCTGAGGTTAGACTAGGGATACTCTCCCTTCAAACTGAGAGATCTCTACCAAATACACAGGCAGATAGGTGTTCTATTAGCAGGAAATGTGGATGACAAAGGCCTTGGGATCAGCAACATGTATAGCAGCCAATTTTTTAAAATGAAGTACCAAATTTAAAGAATAAGTAATTAAGCTAATGATAGAAAAGTGATTACTGCATGTGATATTTTTGTACATGGACAGTTGTGTGCCATATGCCTGATAAATTCTCTAAAATCATTTTCTGGAGTGGAAGCTAGGTTATTTTGGCTTATCCAATAAATGGAATGCATAAGATAAACTTACATGTTAAGAATGTGAGAAAAAAAGGAAAATCAGAAAAGGAAATCCACTCTTGATAGATCTGATTTTTGAAACAGAGATTCTATGTGCAACAGCTCAAGGGAAGGAAGAAGTTGAAGATGGAGAAAAGTTAACTGATACATTAAGATCCTTTGGGAAATCTAGGGTATACTTGGAGGCTCTGGCCTTAAAGAGCACAGTGCCATGGTTAGAATCAAGCGAGCATGCATCTGAAGTTTTACAGCTCTGGATATAAGTCCTGGGTTTGCCATTTCATTTTCCCAAGGCTCATTTTTTACAGTTTCCCTGTTTTCTGAGTTATAATAAAACTGAAC